AAAAAAAAAAAAAAAAAAAAAAATCTGACATTCTTGACTAAACATAAGATCAGCTAGGGATGTGGTACATGCCTGCAGTCCCAGCACTCTGGGAAGCTGAAGCAGGAAGATCTCAAGTTTAAATCCAGCCTGGGCACTTTAGCCATTTAACAAGACTGTCTCAAAGAGGAAGGCAACTGGGGATGTACCTCAGTGCCACGGCCCTGGGTTCAATCCCTGATTCCCCATTAAAGAAAACAAAAGAAAGAATACATAGAATCATTTGGCTCTACAAACTCACCCCCTGCAGACACCAAAGCTCTTAGATCAATGCCTGGCTCATGGTAAGGGCTTTGTAGGTGTTTGTCCCAAAAACCCATGCCAGACACCGTGAATAGTAACATTTAGGGCATTTGCCTACCCGTCCATATCCAGTTTAAAGAATGGGTGCTTCCTTGAGGGTAGTTCCCCTCCCTCCAAAGGGAATAGATACAACTTTTAAGATAAGTTATACATTCATGGAGATCAAAATCGCAAGGGTACAAAAGAGTACCCAGAAAAATTTCCTCTGCCCTCCTAGCTCCCAAGTTACCACTTCCTTAGGTATTCTGGGGTATTTTGGATTTGGCTTTTTAACTCATCCACCCAGGTGGTAGTTCCAGTACAGGGAGTTAGGAGGGGGAGAAGTCAATACTAACGCTGGTTTTGATTAAGAAAGAAGTGGTGGATCATGGCCAGGGCTGAGTCCCAATTCCCGGGTCTCCAGGAATCTGCAGCTTTTCTCAGGGTGAGGTGATTTGGTCAGTTTCTCTTCCTCTAGATTGTATTCAGGGTTGTTTTGTTTTGTTGGGTTTTTGTTTTGTTTTGTTGATATGAGGTCTCACAGTGTAGTTCAGGCTGGTCTTGAAGTCTCTAGGCGGCCCAGGCTGGCCTCGAACTTGTGGCGATCTTTGTGCTTCAAGCTCCTGAGTGCTAGGATTGCAGGCGAGTGCCACCATGCTCGGCTCGTGGAGTGCATTCTGGAAGACTCCAGGTGCACTAATGCAGAGTGGGGTGAAGGTTCCCCAAAGTCCTCCCAGAACTCTTCCTTCACCCCTCCCAGAACTGTTTCCAAGGTGTTACTCGTTAACAAGCCCGCAGAGCCTAGCACAGCATGGTACTCAGACTGGGAGCTCAGTCTCAGTGCTGGTGGAAAGGGTTTGCGTCCTGGGTGGTGGCACAGGCGAGGGGCCTGGCTGCAGAATGCTTTCTTGTCCCAGGAAAGCAGCAAGATCTACAAGGGACTGTCTAGCTGATAGCCAGCTGGCTGGCAGAGTGGCGACTCTGGAGGATGTGGGACAGCACGGGAGCATGGAGGGGGAGGCCAACTTCTGATCAGCACCTTCTTCCTACAGCTCGAGATAAAGAACCATGTCTTCTTCAGTCCCATAAACTGGGATGATTTATACCATAAGAGGCTGACTCCACCCTTCAACCCGAATGTGGTAAGAGGTCCTAGAATTCTAGATGTTCCGTTCTGGATTCCCAGGGCTAATGAAGGCTTGGAGGGGATCTGGGCCAACTCTATGCGGAGAGGAAACTGGACTGAGAGTCTCATTGATTTGTCTGAGGCCTCACACTGAGTCAGAGGCAGACCCAGCTCTATGGGATGAGCCATCGCACCAGCCTTGTCTTTAGCACTCTGGTGGCAGAGCCCTTCATGGATTTTATAGGACCCTGTGTCACATAACACACCCAGGCAGAGCCACCTCCTTTAGATATATTTTCAGACTTATAAAATGACATATATGCCTTGTATAAAGTGTATAAAACAGAAATATATTATTATTTTTTTGAAACAGAAATTGAAAGCAACAATAAGGAACTGTTTAGCCGGGCATGGTGGCATACGTCTGTAATCCAGCACTTGGGAGGCTGAGCCAGGAGGATCGCTGTGAGTTCAAGGCCAGCCTGGGCTACAGAGTGAGCTCAAGGATAGCCTGAATTACAGAGCAAGACCCTGTCTCAAAAGAAAAAAAACAAATGAAGTTTTTAAGGGAAGTAGCTAAGGGAAACCACTTGGTGATTTCCTTCCAGTCATTTTTCTAGGTAGGTTTTTTTTTTTTGCATAGTTAAGTCATACTTTTTGTGTATGTGTATGTATGTATGCATGCATGAATCTATTTACAGTTGTCCTTTAATATCCGTGGATGCTCAAATCCCTATATAAAATGGCATAGTATTTGCATTCAACCTATGTATGTATCCTCCCACATACCTTAAGTCACCTCTAGATTACTTATGTAGTCATAGCTAATACAATGTAAGTGCTGTGTAAATGGCTGTTATGTTATTTAGGGAATAGTAAGATAGGAAAAAGTCTCAACATAAGTACAGATACATCTTTTTCTGAGTATTTCCAATATGCAGTTGGTTGACTCCATAGCTACATAGTCCCATGGATACAGAAGTCAGATAGACAGACCGACAGATGGATGGATATAAACTCTTCCTCTCTTCAGCTAAAAATTATGTCTTTATGTTTTCATGTCACATAAAACTTTATAAGTATCATTTTAGTGGCTGCATAATATGTCAATATTATGTTAATAACATAATTTACTCAACTGTGCTCTTCTGGGCAACGTTGTTGTCATTTTTTTCTACCATAATGTACCGATGGATGTTTTTAAGTATGTATTTTTGCCCAGGGATCTGGCTTCTTTTCTTCCTTTCACCCATCCTTTCATCTTTCTTACTTGGTCCCCTCCCCTACCCTCCTCTCTCCAGTCCCCTAAGAATATGAACCCAGGCCCTTCACACTGACCTCTATCCCCAGACCTTGTAAAATAGTTTTACATCTTGAGACTCCTTCCTACCAACGGCCTCTGCTGGTGAACTCTCACCATACTTGCCCTCTGCAGCATGTGCTGTTGCTGTTGTTCTTTACTTTGAAAGTTTGGTAGGTAAAAAGTGGAATCTCCTAGTATTCTTACTTAGATTTCTTTGATTTACTTACTGGAGAGGTGTTTAGTTTTTAGGTGTAAGCTTACAGTGGTGCTCTGAATTGAAAGGCACCCCATTTGCAGTGGATTGGAGTTCTCTTGGCTTCCTGTAGGGTGCAGTGTTAAGCAGTGTGAAACTTTACCCAAGCAACCTGAGCACCTTGATCGTGGCCAATGCTCACTCATTATTGACATTTTTCCTGTGGCAAATCACTTGTCCATGTGTCTTTGAGCACCAGCGGACCCCTGCCTTTTCTTTTTTGCAGTACATATTGGGAATGAGCCCAGGGAGCACTGAATTACATCCTCAGGCCTTTTTGTATTATTTTTGAGACAGGGTCTTGCTAAGTTACCCAAGTTGACCTCAGATTCGTGATCCTCCTCCCCCAGGCTCCCAAGTAGCTGGAATTCCAGAGTGTGCCACTGAGCACAGCAAAGCACAGCTGTCAGGATGCATTTAGTCCAAACATTTGAAAAGTTTCTTCTTGTGGAATTTTATTTTATTTTACTTTGTGGTGCTAAGGATCAAGCCCAAGGGCTTACAAATGCTAAACAAGCACTCTGAGCTATGTCCCAGCTCTTTTTTTCTTCGTAATTTAAAAGACAGGATAATGTCAAACATACAGCCTAGAGACAACAGTACACAGAATCCTAGGAAAGGGGGCTTAGGGTGTAGCTCAGTGGTAGAGCACTTGCCAAGCTTGTGTGAGGCCCTGAATTCCATTCCCAGCAATACATCCACCACCCACCCACACTCTAGGAAGAATGCATTATAATATAGCGGTCTGTGAACTCTAGAGTGAGACATACCGGGGATGGAATTATGGTTCTGCTACCTACCACTTGTGTGACTTTGAGTAAGTTTCTTTAGCATCAAATTCTTTTTTGTTAAAAAAACAACAAAAACAAAAAACCCAGAAAGTAGCTGCTTGTCTAGGGCTGCCCATCTAACAGGAGCCAGGGCTAGGACTAAGATTCACATTCTGGTCCTGAATTGCATTCTGGCCCCCATGACCCTTGGAAGACAATGGAAGTCGGGGCCTGTTTGGTTCCACAGCATGAGAACTGCATGCTAAGGTGACGTGCAGACTCCTCCACTTGCTACCCTCTTCCATCGTGAATCCAGGGGACACTGTCATCTCCCTAGACTGGGTCTTCTCAGCAAAACAACTGTATCAGTGAGGCTTGCTTCTCAAGAAGTCATCCCAAAACACAATCCTTTATCTTGTTCAGAGTCTGCATGTCAACTGTGTTTTTTCAGTCTGAGCCAGGCCAGCCATTTTTATTTTACTTTTATTAGTACTTGCTTGCAGTACATAGTGATTATATTCACTACAAGAGACTGGCACTTGTACACAACACATTTTAATTCCCTTCTTCCCCTCTCTTGCCACCCTCTTTTATTTTTCCAACATCAGATTCATTTATTGTATAAGGCCTTATAAAGTTAGTTACCATATATACAGATTAAAAACAAGACTAATAGTTCAAAGATCATATAAAACACGTAAGACAGTTATATTAAGTCAAGTTATACTTTTAGATACAATATCTGCGCAGGATTACAATGTTTTTTTCCTTTCTCTTTTTTCCTATTTGTCTTTTGTTTTGTACTTTATATATAAAGTTTTTCACACAAGAGAAACCACGTGACTTTTTAAGCTTGTGTGTCTCATTTACTTCACTTAACATTATGGTCTCAAGGTGCATCCATTTATCCACAAATGACTCAAGTTTATCCTTTTATGGCAGAGTAGTACTCCATTGCATATAAACACCATGTTTTTAATTCATTTATCTGTTGACGGACATATGGGCTGTTGCTAAGATAGAGCCATTATGAATTGCACTGGTATAAACATGGGTGTGCCTACATCACTATGGTATGGTGTCTTTAACTCTTTTGGGAAGATAACTAAAAAGGAAATAACTGGATGAAATGGATTTTTTTTTTTTTTTTTTGG